GACCACAGTTCCTCCCAAAGCTCCATAACACTGAGTTCCATCCACTCTAGCATCACAGTGAGTTTCCAAACCTGCAAATTTGAAGCAGAAGTTAAAATAAGAAAATGAACCACTGTAATCCGTCAAAGAATGATGATCAAACCCACAGACATCACTACTTTCAGGCCAGTGTGCAAATGTAAGAAGTGTGACTGTAAATGGATTATTCTTACACTGTATCATTTCTACTTTAACTTAAGTAAGACATCTAAACATTTCTTCTAACTGCAGAAAATCAGTTGCCTTCCCTGAAGAACCATGAAGAACCCAAGATGACAAATTATCTGTTTTAAGCCAATATGTATAAAATGATGAACTCAAAACATTCAATTGGATTAGTGCTGCAGCAATAAAAACATGAGCTTTGAATACGTCGCTCAGAGCGGAGCAGCATTAAGTAGCTACAAGGAAGTGTTGGAACAATGCTATATATGGTGTCACATCTGACTCTGTGATTCTGTTCATCCATTTTACACATTTCATACAACAGGAAATAGAGGCTGAAGGCCAACATTAGTCTCTACAATTAAAACAACTGCAGAGTTACAGCATGGCTCATGTAGATAATGTTTCCCACTGACATTTACAGCAATGCTAGCGACTAGAAATACAGCAACAACAGATCCTCTTTTGTGATTGTAACATTTTGCTTTAAGCTCAGTTTGCTTCAGACTGTACTTAAATATACAGTCAAAAACACAAACAAATTGTCAGAGACTACACACACAACAATGAAAACATGACTCCAGTAAAGAGCATTAGACTGTCTTATACTTCAGATATCTTTTAGAGAGGCTTCATATGCCAACTAATAAGCAAAACTTGTGACGTCATTTAAAAAAAAATGGAGCAAATAAAGCAAAGTGAAAAGAAGAATATCTTCATCAGTTCAGAAAACTGAAAAAAATAAACATCCTGTTGTATGTGTACTGTAACTGTATGTAGACTTGATGCTTGCCTCTATTATTATCAAATGTTTAATTTTAAAACTTTTGCAGAAACTGAAAACCTCTCCATGACGGACTCCAGTGTCAGAAACTACAATATTTCCTGTTGATCAAACAGAGAATTGTGGTGATTACAAATAATCCTGTGGCTGCATCAGTTTATCAGTAAGTTTTCATGCAAAACCAAATCCAACAGTCAAATCTCGGAGAGTCAAATAACTCATCTGCCATAGTTGTTATATTCACTTGAAATGCACATTAATGTGGAATTGAGCTCAGAATTTTATCATAAAAAGAAGAAAAAGAAAACTGAACCACAGCTGGTCTCTTGTACTTTGGCTGCTTCACACATCACTGAGGATAATATCAGGCTTCATTTACTGACTACAGTTGACCCCACTGCTACTAAACATCTTGTTGAAACAATAAATCCGACATTAATAATGTGAAAATCGTTGAACATCTCACCATGAGAGACTCCAAGTAGCATCACCAGCAGTCCCACCACAGCTTCCATGTCTCTTTACTGTTCAGTGGTTGTTGAATCAATTCATTTATCAGTGTGCACATTTATCGTACACAGAAGTATCAGAAATGTCAACTATAACTGATCAGCCTGAGAAGAGAAGCTGTTAACACCCTGGTTGTGTTGAGTTGAAAAAGGAAGTGGCGATGACATGGTAATTGCTTTGACCAAGAAGGAAACAAACATCTTTTTTTCTGAATTGTTGTCATTACTTAGAAGTAGTCTCATTTTTTTAAAACACCATCAGTTTCTGAATAAAGTTACATCCATCACAAACATACAGTTATTCATACTTTAAAAACTACAATTCACAGTTCAGTGAACACTTTGTTTGGCACATGTATATAGTATAATGACATCAACAACAGATCTGATGTAACATCTAAATTTAAAGAAAAAAAAAAGAACAACAAAAAAAAAAACTCAGGATGTTCAGATTCTGGTGACATTTTCTGATAGATATAATTATTTGTTTCCAACTGAAGTCATTGTTGAAGTCATTTTTTTATTCAACTACATTATACTGAGAGCAGTTACTGTTTATTTCTGTTCTTCACATTTACATGTGTGAATGGGGGCAGCCCAGTACAACCCACCACTAACTGTGACCTCAGTGATAAAACACACAGTTGATGTAACAGCTCAGTGACAGAGTCACAAACATGAACGCTACATGAAGTGTCATTTGTTTGTACAGGCTGGAGATGAAAATAAAGAAACAACAGGATCTATTTTATCCACAAAACTGGAACCTGAGGACCATCTTCACTTTCAATATGGAGAGTTGCCATTGTTTCATTATGACACAACTATTTATGTAGATTGTTTCACTGGTCCAGTTGAGTTATTGACACACTCAGAGTTACTTCTGTGGAAAGTAAGGACAGATTATGTCAATAATAAAACTCTGGTCTAAAGCTGTTCTCAGCTGCATTTCATCCAAACATGCGGCTTCACTTTCACAATGGTCAAAGGAAATCAAGACAACAGAAATCATATGAAAACACGACAACAAAACAAGGAGCCTTCATTCAAAATGTAGCTGACAGGTATGTAGGTCAAATACACAGAAAGAAAAAAACTGAAGTCTCCTGCCAGAGGGGAGTGTTTGAGTTTGTGTCCAGGGTGGGAGAGGTCGGCCACAATCTTACCTGCACGCCTCAGAGTCCTGGAGGCGTGCAGGTCCTGGAGAGAGGGCAGATTGCAGCCAATCACCTTCTCAGCCAAATGGATGACATGCTGCAGTCTGGCCTTGTTCTTGGCTGTCGCTGCAGCATACCAAATGATAATGGAGGAGGTGAAGATGGACTTGATAATGGAGGTGTAGAAGTGCACCATCATCACCATCAAAACACTGTTCAGGGCTCCAGACTAACTCTTTCTCATTTTGTTGCACCTCCCACCTGGTCAAAGGCAAAACATATGAGAGATACATACATATGTGAGAAAGTCTGCAGCTGCCAATCAGAGCCCGGGCCGAGGTCACATGATCACGAATAGTTTTTCGAGCTTCGTACACACTTGTGGCCGGCGTCCTGCATCCAGGAAGTGTAGAATTTGTAAACACGCAGCCCCCCCGCGACCCTAGTGAGGATTAAGCGGTGTATAGATAATGGATGGATGGATGGATGGAACTACTTTTTATCTGGTCATTAGTTGTGGTGGGGCGCCGCCACTGCTCAGGACTCACTCTGGACTTTGAATCCAGCAATCTGAGTTCAAATCTCAGGGGAACCTGATTTCAGACTGAGTTAATCAAAAAAAATCACCTCATTTCTTCAATGCATTCACTGTATATTGAGCAACCCTTCGCAACACAGTGGTGAGACAGTGTCATAATACTTGCTTATGAAAAAAGGGCTGTTGTTACAAAGTGGTCCAGATGAAAATCTGAATGCAGGCTGGGACTGAAAACTGCTATGAGAGTCAATGTTGACCTCTTCCCATTTTAAATTCTGAGTTGTTTAACCCCTTGAGCTATAAATATCAACCACAGGACAACGCTGAGGTCATTATCTTGAATTTTTAAATGACATTGGCAGAATGTTTGTCTCAAGACTCGTGTGTGAAACACAGATCCACATAACGTAAATCTAAGTTAAACAAAATAAAGAACTGAGAAAGTTTTTCTTTTTAAATTTTATTTAGAAACAGAAAAATAAATTATTCATAAATGTCTTTTTGAAAGTTGTAAATGTTAGTCAGTTATTCACAAATGTTCTTCATTTCTGTGTAAACTGAATGTATCCACAGATGTTTTACATTTGTGAAACTTGAGTATTTGCAGACATGTTTTATATTTGAAATTCATTTTTGAGTTTTTTTTGGATCTGTGAAAAGTGCTGAACATTTACTAATCACACTCTAATGGTCATTTAGATATCTTGGAAAGACTATATGGAGCATACAGGCCCCAAAGTAGAAACTCGACCTGTGACTTCCAGTTTGCATGAATGGCATTTGTATGATTAGAAACTGACTTATAAACACCAGAACCTCCTCATTTTCTGTCTCCATATGCAGGTCTGCATCATGGCTCCAAATGGAAAACAACCGCCAGAGGAATTTAAAAAATGTGTGACTTTATGATGATGGAAAAAGGACACATTTAAAACTAACAACCCCCCCCAATTGAAAACACAGTTGCAGCAGTACCCAGAAAGTATGGAAGGAGCCACAGGATGACTAATCACAGCTGCAGTTGCTGTATTTCTAAAATGATGCAACAGACAGTGTGCTACTTTCACAATCTTCTGAAAAACATAAATTCTTTTCTACAATGTATCAGAAGAAGCACAATGAATATTGGGTGCATCAAGTCAGATGAGACCAGGATAACTTTGTTTGACTCAGATGAAATCCAGCAGGTTTGGCATAAACCTGGTCAGAACTCCCACAGTGAATGAATAGTCCTGACAGTGAAACACGACGATGGGTGTGTGACGATTTTGGGCTGCATGAGTGCAAGATGTGTTGGAGAGATGACGCTCATAGTTGGCACCATTAATGCCTGTAAATATACCAAAAATACTGGCAGAATTTGGGCAGCAAAGGTGGACATATTAAGTACTGGAAAAAATGGAAGGTGTACTGACTTTGAGTTCCTAGTGTTAACACGGTAAATCTAAAATTGTTGGTCTGAAACTCCACACAAGAGCAAATACAGTTGCTGAGAGGTGATAAAGGTTTGCATCATTTGACATTTAGGTGATACTGCACAGGGTCATACTTACTTTTGTATACTGTGTGAATTCATGCTCTGTTCACAACACCAGACGCAAGACTGGAGACGGGTGCAGTCGATTAAAAAACTATGGAGTTTAGTAGTAAAAGCATAATTTATAATCCATATATGAAAGTTTTATCAAAAATGTAAAACTTTGCTTAAAAAAAAAAAAAAAAAAATCCCAATTCTCACAAACAGTTTTCTATCAATACCAAATACAATTTTCATGTTACTTTGAATAAATACAAAGCTGGTCAAAAATGTCTATGTATTCTGTTTTTTTTTTTACGACATCATTGTGTTTGGTGCCGAATACAAAAGAAGCGGAAGAGTAGAAAACATACTGAAAACAAACATTAGAATAAACTTGAAAATCAGACTCATTTGGTTTCAATGAATTATACAATTTAAATGACCATAAAATGGCTCCAGAGAGCTTCTCATGTTTAGGATTGCGACGGGAGAAATTCCTGAGACTGAAAGAGAATGTGCATCAAAGAGACATTTCTTCATTCAATCAGTGGTGAGATTAAGATTCCATGAAACAATCAGCTTCAACTTCCTTTACATGCCATCACAATGGAAATGACCACAGAAATATTTAAGTAAAAAACACAGAACATAAAATGAATTAAAAAGATTTTTTAAAAATGTACTAAAATAAAAATGCCAGTTCTCTTTACAGTCTTAAATCGTCCTTCTAATCAATAGAATATGATTAGAAAAAGGACGGAAATGATGTGTTGCCTTCTGTCCTGTGGTTCTGCAGGGATGACGAGTCAAACGTCTTCATGGCTCCTTGCTCTTGGATGATTTCTTTTTCTGTGGACAGTTACAGAAAAAAAAAAAGCACATTAGCTGATCTGAGAGTTATTAACCGCTGGCGTTGAAACTCATCACACATGATTCTCTGATTAGACTATTTGTCTATCAGTAACATCAACCTGTAACACGTCTGTCTGGTGAAGGTTACGGTGTTGTGATACCTTTTTGTGGCCATCACTTGTGACTGTCTGGATGATTTGTGTCTCTGTGGCATCTTGGACAGAAACATCAGGTGTTTCTGGGACTTCTGCTGACTTCAATTTGCTTTTCTCTGAGGAAAATGACAGAAGCGTTACGCAAACTCACAAAAACACCCAAACCGCGGGCCGCCGTGATTTCAGTGGGTTATTTACTCACTTTTCTTCTTCTCTGTTGGAGGACTTGTTGTATCCTGGCCTGGTGAAGGCTCTGTTTCAATAGAAGTCTTCTTCTTTTTCGCTTCAGTAACCTGCTTTTTCTCTTTCTTAGTGCCCTCTGATGCCATATTTGTTGTTTTTTCGTCAACTATCTGCTCATTATTATGATCAGCTTGGTCTTTCTTTGACTTTCTTTTCTTTTCTTCAACTATCTGCCCTAAACTTTCTTCATCAGGATTCTCCCTTTTCCTCTTCTTTGCTTTCTTTTCTTTAACTACTTGCTCTTGACTTTCCTCACCGTTAACAGTCTCCTCTTTTTTCTTCTTCTCTTCTTTCATCTCCTCAACGGTGTGTGCTGAATTTTCCTCACTTTCAGTTTTGTCCTTTTTCTTCTTCTTTACTTTCTTTTCTTCGTGTAACTGCTCTGACGTTTCTTGACTTCTGTCAGCTATTTGCTCTGTATTTTCATTCACTTCTTCAGGTAGCAGCTCAGAATTTTCCTCAGCATTCGTTTTCTCCTTTCTCTTCTTCTTTGCTTTCTTTTCTTTGTGTAACTTCTCTAAATTTTCTTTGCCTTCTTCAGCTTTTTGCCATGTGTTTTCTTTTACTTCTTCAGCTACCTGTTCTAACGTTTCCTCACTATAGAGTGTCCTTTTCTTCTTCTTTACTTTTGTTTCTTCTGCTGTGTGTGCTGAACTTTCCTCACTGTCAGTTTTCTCCTTTTTCTTCTTCTTGGCCTTCTTTTCTTGTACTACTGGCTCTGACATGTTCACATTATCAGCGTTCTGGCTTTTGTTTTTCTCCATCACATCGACTTCAATCCTTTCGCTGTCTTCCTTTGTTCCTTTTGTCTTTTTCTTGACCTCCTCAGGTTTCCTATCACACTCTTCCCCTTTGACTTCAATGCTCTTCTTCTCTTTTCTGTCTTTTTCTTTTCCAGGTTCACCTGCTTTATTTGCATTTTCATCCACCTTTTCTTCAATCGCCTCCTTTTCCTTCTTCTTCTTCTTTTTCTTCTTGGGCTCAGATGTTGTGTCATCCGTTGTTTCTTCGCTGGAAGGTACAATGTCCCGTTTCTTTTGTTTCAAAGGGGAGACAGTGGATGCAACCGGCTTTTCCTCGACAGTGTTGAGGTTTTGCTCTTGGCTGTGGATACCAGAGGAGGTCACAGGTGCTGCATTTTTTGCCCTGCTCTTCTTGGGCGTACTCTTCTCTGTTGGTGTCTCTGTCACAGTTTTCTGTTCACCGTTTTCATCCTTTTTAATCGTCCCATTATTCTGTTTGACGGGAGTGCCAGTTTTTGCTGGAGGCTTAGCTCTGGGTTTTCTGACTCTCGTTTTCTTGGGTGGGGGTGCGGAGGCGTCCAGAGCATTGATGGTGTCCATCTTGGCAACGTCGGCCTCTGTGGATGGAGAAAACATGATGGCACTGAACAAACCTGAATAGGTGGCACAAATGCTTCAAAGAAAACACCAACGGCAGGCAAACAGCTGCTGCACACAGCTCTGTCTGTATGAAATCACTGTTTTCCGTGGCGAGGTTGTTCATGGGTGGTGCTCTCCTGTCTGGCGGTCGTCTTTCTCTCTTTAAGTGAAAGGACCCAGCTCTCCCTGTCATTCATCTTCCACCTTTTCCACAACATTTAACTTTCTCCACCTGCATTCTGTCAATTTCTAACATGAATAACCTCCTAAAAACAGAACACTTGCTCCTCCTCCGACATCTGACTGTCTCTAGTTAATTTCGTGCTTGGTTTTTGGAAACAATGGCAGCAGCTGAAGCAATTTGGTCAGTGGCGCAGAAAGTTGCATGAAAAGAGTGTGGCCTCCCACACTGCAAAGAGTTTCTTCCTTACACTTGGAAAAAGACAGTTGATGGCTGTATTTTAGCAGAATATATCTCTCAACCTAAATTCTCTACCATAAAATGCTGGAATAAACCAGAGTCTTCAAACCTCAATAAATCACTCGCAAACTATCTGAATACCTCTTTAAGTTCTCGTTATTTTTCTTCTCATCACCTCACCCTTCACATATTTGCTCATCAAATGAATGCTGCTCTCAGTGATGTTTTCACACAAACCTACCTGTCATCTGCCCGAGCATTTTCTTCCATTTCTCAACATCCAGACTGCTGTCAGAGTCTGAATCATCTCCACCAGCAGACACGGTCGTGTCTGTCGTTTGTGTCTTTGATTTCTTCGCCTTGGTGACACTTTTGACAGATTTTCCATCACTTTTATCCTTTTTTGTTCCGACAGACTGCAAAAAAAAGAGAAAGAAACAACAGCGTGCTTTTTGAAGTTTAAGAATTGCCTTAATATATATATATAAAAGAAAACTCCCCAGAAACGTACCTTTTTTGGAGTCTCTGACTTCTTTGCAGGTTTATCCTTCTTCTTTGGTGTGGCTGCACTGCCTAGAAAAGTGCACAAAATGTGGTAATATATATTCAGTAAAAAAAACTTAAGTTAAGGGTAAACTATGAATTAGAAGTGAGGCCAGTGTTCTACTTTCTGCACCTGTGAGTGTATGAGGATCTGTGAGGGTCTGAGTGATGCAAATATTGTCCTCCGCAAATGCTGCCACTATGCTACAGGGGCAATTGTGTACAATATGTAGAAATATGTGTGGATCCCTGTTGTGAACACGTCCTCCAAGCAGGATAGAAAGTAGGATTACTCAGAAAAACTATGTATCTGTCTGTGTGTACATCTGTAAGGGTGTGGAACCAGATCCTGAGAGAAACTGTCTGAACGCTGCACTCATGCTGTCCTGGTTCTCACAACTCACATTCCTGATATTTTAGTGAGTTGATAACAGTAACGTAGTCTGAATATCAAGTTAAACGCTGAAAGTAGTTGAAAATGAGGCTTGTGTATTTAAAGGTCCGATAGGCAGGTCTACAAATTGAGGTTACAGATTACATTGACTCAATACGCCTCGTCCCAATTTCTCGTTTCAAGCATGTAGAAGGATCTACACTGGCCACGAAAAGGCCTTCTCCAGTAGCAGAGTTTGGCTTGTCCATTCAGATTTTCTGTAGAAACACGCCAGAGCAGCATGGCAGAAGAGGACCTGTAAATATTATATTCTAATTAAGTATTTATCTTAAGGTGGCATCAACCCCATATCACACTTGAACTTGTTCTATAGCCCTTATCCAGGTTATTTTCTCCTGACTAGATCCTTGCTTGTGTTGTATCCGCTTTCAGATGTGCATCGCTTTGGATAAAAGCGTCTGCTAAATGTAATTGTAGAATTGTAGAAGGTAGCGCTTATTATCGGGTTAATACACGTTATTGAAAACATAATTACGAATACTACACTCCATATCTGCTTATAGATGCCCTTAAATTCTACACAGTGGTCCGTCAAGGAAAGTTAAAAAGAAATAAGAAGTTGTACCTTTAGTCGGAGTATTTCCCCGTTCTTTAGATTTGGAGCGTTTATTTGAGTCAGACTGTCTTTTCTTTTTTGAGCCCCTGTCAAGAAGAAAAACAATAGTTTTTAGGAGTCATCCAATGAAGGTGTTTAATTTCTGTAAAGGTTTGAGAAATCATACTCACTTCACCCAGGAATTGTAGATGTCCAGTAATGACGCCGATATTTTGGTCTCCCCCTGAAGAAAGTGAGTAAAATCAAAACATTACATATACTCTGACAATGTGATGCGGTCTTAGTTTTAACATTGTTTCACAGAGTAGGGTTTTACAGCACACATTTTAAATGAGCCTAATGTGAAATTAATCATCTTATAATCAGGTATTTCTGGCATTTTGCCTTTACAGCGCACAACAACTCTCAGTACACCGCTGTGTAAAACATTAAAGAATGAAACCTGTACCATATTAGAGTAACTCCGTTATATTTAAACAGCAGCATGGGTATTTGAGCTTATGTAGCATTACAAACTAACAGGTTAGATAGACTACAATGAAATATTACAATTATAGAAGAACCTATGAACACCACACTGACTCTCAGTTCTGGGCTGGGTGTAGCTCATGGAACAAAGGCTCCAAGGATATGCCTGGACAAGCATGAAGCCAGATTGTGAGAATGAACAGAAACTGAAACAACAGTTACAGACTTTAGAGTTAGGAGGTGTATGAAGAGCCACATTACCTTAAGAGAAGATGTAGTGCACATATTTGTAAAACGAGTTTAGCAATTATGCAACTTTGCTCTGAAAAACAGAGCAGTGCTTCTGTTTAGTTACAAGAATTATCTGTGAAAACTGGTGTTTCAGTGACTGGTCAGGGAGCAAACATGAAGTCAAGGATCAGACGAAACCGACGATTTAGCATCAACACTGTGACGTGAACATGTGCAACAGCCACATCGCGGGTTGTGCGATGTCAAGTAAGGAAATTCACCCGAACGCATCATGCTACTAATTATTTTTTGCTGCTCAGCACAAAAAGAAAACTTGAATGGTTCCCACACTAATCTACAATACAAGTTAGTCTATTTATAACATAACTCAGTCAGATTTAAGGTTTCTTGGATACACTGAGTTTTTTTCTAACTGTATTTAAAAGACACAGAGTTTGCTGAAATGTTAGTTCCACATGTGAACTGGAGAAAAACACTGAGTTTTTTGTTTTTTGGCAACAGATAGGATGATGCTGACCAAAAACTGGTTCTCTGTCTGCAGTGTCGCCACTAGACGAGGCAACACAACTGATTTGTTTGACCATTTAAATCAGCATCATGACTCTCTGCCTGACGAGTGCAGAGCCAGATGGGAAGGTCATTCAAAGCAGGAAGCTATTCTGAATGATTCTGCAAGTGTTACACCATATAGTCCCAAATGTTTTGTTTGTTTTTAGCATTGAAAAAAACACTTGTTTTCTGTGTAGGTGTACTATAACCTGAAACTCACTATGATTATTTTAGAGTGATTCACTTTTTCTCAGTAGTTATTAAAATCATCTGTGAATATTCCAGTATTTGCTAATATCGCAGTATATATATATTACAGGAAAACTTGATATTAAAATGTTAGATCTTTCCAATCTTGTCCATTTGTTCAGCCTTTACATCTTGAAAAATCGTTTGGTGCTTGCCTATATTATATATATAGGGAAAAAATTAACAACAGAACAGTTAAGAAGAACAGTAGCATTCAAAAGCAGAGTAGTTTGTAATCCTGGTCTTAAACTTAATCCACAGAAACAGTTGTGTTGGTTGTAAAATGGAAAAGCACATGCAGGACTCTGAGTTGCATTCTGAATTAGGGATTAGTTTAACGGAGAAGTTATGTTTGAATTTGTCTGACTCAAATGGAGTTCAGCATGTTTAGCTCGGATCTTTGTAGTATTATCAGATAGGAGCGTGAAGCAGTTTAAGACAATCATGAATGAAGACTGGTATCATATGTGCCCTGGAGGCTCAGATCTGCTGAATAGTACAAAAATAAAGGAACGGACTCTCACTAATGAAGGGTGTAGTCACTTTGTAGGAGTGTAGAGACACTGCAGAGGTGTGTACTGTTAATATAATGCAGGTGAAGAATAGTTAAGAGTGGATCAGCTTCACCAAAGCACCCACACTTGTGAAAAAGGAAACAAGTTGACTCCAGGTTCAACAGTATGCTCGTGTTCCTGCACAGAAATGAGAAAACTACACGAACTCGTCAGGGAACTCAACACCTGGTTAGTAGCATGTTTTAAAAGCCAAGTTGTGCTGAAACTCGAGCAGGCTGGTTGTGTCCGTCAGTCACAGTGTGTGTGTGTGTGTGTGTGTGTGTGTGTGTGTGAGGACAGTGTTAACCTGTGGGCTGTGTCCCTGAAGCTCATCCGCAGCTGAGTGGAAACCATGCTCCTTCAGGTGGCGGTGGATCAGCTGAATCAGCTCGTGCTTTGATGCGTTCACGGACATGTTCGACACACGAAGAAGTGGACTAAAAAACGCAAAAGACTAACGACACAAGTTTCATGTTAAAACAAGCCGTACAACGCGCACAACTGTCGCTTCTGAAACCCGCATGTTACTACTTTGAACTACGAACTCCGGAAGTCGTTCTGGCTGCCTCCGCAATGCACTCTGGGAGCTGTAGTTCTGGTGCCAGCCTTCACGCGAGGGGCGCGGAAGTATTCAGATTCTTGACTTAAGCAAAAATAAACGTACACTTTTACTTGTGTATTGCCACTTAAGCAAAAGTAGTAGTAGACAAGTAAAACCCTTGCACAAAAAATCCTCATAAGTAAATGTCTAAGTATTTGCAGATAAATGTAGTTAAAGTGGCAAAGTAGAAGAACTGGTTTGGTCCTGACTATTCTGATGTAATTTATCAATACTGAGGCATCAATGTGCAAACAGCATGTTGGAGCTGCTGCAGGTGGAGCCAGTTTGAACTGTCTGAATTACAGTTTTACAGCTTTCTAAGTAAATATTATATTCTTTACCAAGTCCATTCAAAAGGCGTTTAACATTAGAATATGATAAGACATTCCTGAGAAAAAACCCACAATATTCAAATATTGCACATCCATCCATCCATCATCTATACACTGCTTAATCCTCACTAGGGTC